TTATGATGCCGTATCCAGGAGTTTTTTTTTGTTTTTGTTTTGTTTTTTTTTTTGTTTTTTTTGTTTTTTTTTTTTTTTTTTTTTTTTTTTTTTTTTTTTTTTTGTTTTTTTTTTTGTTTTTTTTTGCGTCTGAAAAATTGAAGGCGCGATGGCGCGAGGCGTGAACTCTTAATACTCCGCTCAATGCTGCCAATTAGATGCAACTCATATTCGGGAGATAAGTCAAAAATTGCGACCCGGATACATCTCACCGATATTCGGTTGTGTTGACACTCGATAATTTTCTTTTTTTCAATAAATTTTGCACACAGGAGATGGACCCCAGGCAATTAGTCGGGAGCCGAAAATGCCGGATCTCCCCAACAATTTCGCGAAATGACGAGTGTTTTCATTTTCCCTCTTCAAACAACGCAGGTTGATTTACCTGACTAATTATTTACCTCGTTTCGATTGATCTATTCGTTGTACCGCCATTGATTAGTATGTTACAAGGAGATTATACTTTGAAGAGGTTATATAAATCATTCAGACTCGATTCATACTTAATCTACTCTCATGAGTTCCACGCCTTCGCAATATTAAAATAAACGCCTCCTCGAGATTGTAGAAGTGTAACGAATGAGCTGAAGTCTCAAAAATATTCAATTTGAGCCTCGCATTTGTCATGATGAGAAATGACTTCATGCGTCTTTGAGAAAGTCTTAAGGAGCATCAGCATAATAAGGAAAATGGGAGTTTATTATTACATTCGACGATTTGAAAAGAGGTTATCAATAGATTTCCTACAATGTTGAACTACCGTTTCGCGCCTTCCTTTAATGATCACCACGCGGACATTTCTTAACATGCCCTTCAATATTTAAATATATTTAAAACATAACTAGTATCATATTAGCTCCTTAAGAGTATAACGATGACCAAAGTGCGGAACCGCGTATCTCTGTTTGCGATGTCGAAGGAAGACTTCCTGCCATACTTTATTTTCTCTTTGAAAAAAAAAGCCAACCTAGTTTCTTGAAAGCTTCTTTGATTATTCTTCTCTGTCAGTGGAATATTCTGTAAAAATTTCGAGCAATTAGGTTGGCTTGTTCCTTTTCGAAAAAAATGAAATAAGAGAAGAGATTTTAAAACACCGCAATGGAGTTACATAATTTCGCAATTCAGTCATCGATATCCCTTGCAATGAAGTCATTTTGTCTACTCTGTAGAAAATTCTATGATTTTTTGTCATCTCGTCCGCACGGAAAAGCATTATTTAAGTAGTCGTCCTTAAATATTATAATTCAAAAGATCCTTATCATTATAAAGGAGTGACCACTGCGTCTCTTTTAGAAAGCAATTTCATTTTGACTGAATAAAACGCGAAAACAGAAATAAGTTAGGAGTTATGGAGTACTTTGAATTCAACCAACCGCACGTTTTCTCCTGTCGAAAAATTTGCAGTCAAAAACATATTAATTATCAAAATGAATGTTGAGCTTTCCTTTTAATTAATACTTCAGCCGATAAACGCAACAATAGAACAAGATGTGGTGAACAGAACAGGTGTCAGGGGCTGGATACAATTATTCCTGCTCAAAGGTACTCTTTGTTGCATATCCGAGAAATTGAAGGCTCTTTGGCTTTCTTGCTCTCACAGCCACATTGCAGCGATTTTATCGATGCACCGTTAAGAGTTATTACTCGATCGATCTGTCATTTAGCCTAGGGAAAAAATTGATAATCAGGGTGTTCGCGACGAACACCTTAATAATCGATTCTTCACCATAGCCTCAAATAGAGAAATATCGATAATAGATCATTCACGCTTCGCCACTGATTGTCAAGTCGATGAGTTTCGAATGTTAGGTTATTTTGACGAATTTCAAGAGCATATGAGCCTATTGCGTTTTTATGAAACTGTAACTAGAAGAGCGAACATGAAAGATTTCAAAACTAGTTTTGATGCTATCTTGCCTTGACCTCGTCAATCACATATCTGGTACATATTCAAACGAAAATGAGACATGAGACTAGGAAATGCAAATCCACTCTCTTGAAATGAGTCGGATACTTCTTTTTGAAGCTGTGATGATTTTTGAAGAAAAAGAAACCAAGGCGAGGTATGGCACCTCTGATGACGCAAGTAGCTCATAAAACTACAAGTGTCTGTGCCAAATCGTTCAAAAAAGTTTGAGCTTTTGCTTGAAAAGATGCCCTTTTCCCTGTATTTACGTAACTTTGCAACAGCGCCTAGTGACAGAAAAAATCCAATTCAGTCAAGTCCCACTGACACCGTGTAAATGATAAGGCTCTTTGCGTATGCCAATTGAAAATAAAGCTTTAATGACAAGTGTTTACCCAAGATAAAGGTATTATAATCTAAAGTTGGAAAACACTTTGGTCTCGTTGAGGTATGCGTGACTATTGATGCTAATTTTTTACAGGTAATAATCATTCGTGAGGTTAATCATCAGTAAAAACCTTATTTCTCCATCATAGAAGGATCCGGACATTTTTGGATTCGACTTAAAAAAAAGTTCTATTTTAGTTGGTTGAAAAAGCTTGAGAGACACATGTTTTTTACAATCAACCCTTTGTAAAAAAAAGAACACGCCTTTGCTGGTCGTCGAAAAGGATCAACCTCAGGGGAGCTTGTGAAAGCCCCATATCAGCTCTAGTCCTTACTTCACAACCAACCCCAGGTAGCCGTTATCTGAGACCGTCAAAATTGGGTCGCCTCCCCGGGAATCGATCATGGGATCTCCTAATCACTGAATCGTGCTACAACCACTACACAACAGGAGGCCAACTACGCAACAGAATGCGGATATATAATGTTTCTAAAAAAATCTGTCTGATGAAGTAGAAAGCCTTGTCCCATATAAAACGCAAGGAGTTACCTTGTAGAGGTCAGATTATAATTAGGTTTAAAGTACGCCAAATTTGTAGGAAAATGGTTAATGGAGAAACAATGAATGTAAGGACTACTTCCTTTTGAAGTCTCTATTTTTCAGCGCTCAGCCAACAGGGAGCACTTTTTGATTTCGACCTGCCAATAGAATTCGAGTATACTAGTGGCGATGTGCCTACGTAGAAAACAAGACCAATCCACACAGGTCAGTCATTCCCGAGGACGAGTTTTGGTACTCTACTGCGCAGTGACGTAGTATTGAGTGCTTGCAATATATTTCTTATGGGAGCACTCAATGCTACGTCACAATGGGTGCTGCGAGTTAGGGCCGGGCGGGGGAGTGGATTTCAAAAAAGCTGCGCAATGACTGACCTGTGTGGATTGGTCTTGATAGAGAATACCTGAGCGCTTCTGTAATACGAGCGTATTAGAGCTTTACCGCTTGTTCAATAATTCTGCCGCTATTTTAAACAAGCCGTTATAGGGAAATAAAGTTATTACTGCACTGCTATATTACGATTGCAGTTTCAATAAATTTAGTGAATAATATTCCGGATTCCGATTGGTTGAAGTAATTGATGTATATTACGGAGTTACACACCCAAAAGCGACCCCGACAGTGAACTGAACGTAATTTCATTAATTAATTAAATGCTTAGTGAGCTAAATCGTGCTGATAAGATTCAGAGAGCTTTAATGGGGTTTCTACGGATGAGCACAAGAAGAAGAAGAGTTGGAAGGGACAAAATCCGAGGAGGCCCTCGGGTCTTGGTGTGAAGAAAAATGTGCGAGTGAAAATGTGAAATTACGCTTCTTCTACGATGTATTTTGATGGCTGAAGTCGAAAAACACGTATATCTGTTGCGTTTTCCAAAAATATCTGATTTTGTTGCACGTCTTCCAGGAAAAATTTAGGTAGAGGAAATTGATATTTTCTGAAAATTTCTGGGAATATTTTTAAACAATTTCAGTAAACCGAAAATTTTCAGAAAACCCGTTTCTTCTAACCCTTCTTTCTTTCAGAAAACCCATGTTCTTTCTGAGAAACAAAACATGAGAGGAAATTTGCAACATCGCGATTGTAGATATACGCGTTTTTCGACTTTGAAGCAATCGCTCAGCCATAATTTACTTATCTATGCGCGAGAAAAAAACACTGAAATATGTGGCCTGAACTATAAGTGAAAAGATAAGAAAATGCTGGGTTCACGCTGTTTTGCGGGGAAAGCAAAGCCAAAAAGTTAAAAAATTTCAATGAGTTAAACAATTTTGAGCTCGAATGAGTATCGGCACAAGACTGAGGGAGAAGAATGCTCATAGGTCAGGCAGATACATTGAAATCAATTTTTTGACTATAATTGAAATTGGTGCACATTTTGGCCTTGCTTCCCCCGCAAGATAGTGTAAACCCAGCACTATTTTACTACACTGAAGAAAAATAGGGTAGATTTGACCATACCCTGACACAGTGATACAAGTATGATAATAAACACCAGACTTCATAGTAACACTCACCACCACCATTTTATGGTAAATATCACCAGAGTTCTGGTGAAAACTACTATAATTGTGGTTATTTTCACTTTATAGTATCACTGTGTAAAGAATCGAGTAGACTCATGGTAGATGTTACCATACTTTTTTTTCAGTGACCCTCTTCTTTACGCATGAAACCAGTGTTCGAAACTGACCTTCGAGTCTCAGGAGCCATGTGCCGCATCAAGCTCGATTTTTAGGCGCCATTGAAGATTTTTAGGGGCCAGATCGACTTTTTGTTTGTATATCACGGCGCTTTTGGCGAAAAGTTAGATACAAGATATTTTAGTCACAGAACTAGTAACCGTGATTTCGGAAATCACCAAACAGAAAAATTAGGATTTTTTTGGAGGGGAAAGGGGCAATTTTTAGGGGCCACACTGGCGCAGAGCTTTCATTTTTTAGGCGCCGTGACCGATTTATTGGGCGCATTTGGCATGTTGGCCCCTGTGAGTTTCGAACACTGCATGAAACCCAGGTTTACAAATTTTGAACATTCATTCTTCACCTGAATAATAAATACATCGAAACAATCGCAAGATGGACAAAATAATGAGCGTAATCGACTTACAAGTTGACTGAGGGCGGGTCGAGTCCTACTGGAAACGCGAAGAGGAAACTTTATCTGGATGTAAGCGATGAGTGCGCGGAGCGTATCACAACCTGCGTGGACGTCGCGATTCGAGGGTTTCGAGCAATTAGCGAGGAGAAAATTCTCAAAGGGTGGCCAACGCCGAGGAGGTGGAGCGCCCGGGCCGGAGGTAGGTCCTCAAAATTGATAAGTCCCAGAGCCGGAGCGAGCGACGAACTCCAAAGAGATAAAATATGGAATAAACTCATCCGAAACATCAACAAATGGGACCTCGGACGGAACCCAACCGAACGAAGGAAGGGCCCGGCAAAATCCGGCCTTGGCGCAGGTGAATAATGAACCCAAGTGCAAATTGCCCGGCTCGCCGCTCCCGCCGCACAATGGAAACAGTCCATCGGAGAGTTCGGACAAAATTTGGAAACTTTGGAGGCTCATATCTTTGAAAGTGGAGAGGTTTAAAGGTGGCTCCATTGGTTTTTTATTAAAATTTACCTTTAAAAACACCCCTTGAAATTGAAATCGTGACAAAATGGACGTATTTATGCTAAAAGGAACTATGTTACAAGCAAACCCTATGCACATAGTTCCATTTGGCACAAACACGTCCAAATACACATTAAAAGTTTGCAATTTTGGTCAGAAATGTCTTGTCCATCCACTTTTAATAGCTTGTCACACTGTGCGTCGTGATGCTACCGCCTGCCACCGTCGCGCAAAAATCAGCGCATATCATTGCTTATCATCAGCGTCCATGGGAGAGATCGGACAAAATTTGGAAACTTTGGAAGTTTACATCATTGAAACTATGAAACGGCGAGGTTTAAAGGTGGCTCAATTGGTTTTTTAGTGAAATTTACCTTTAAAAACACCCCTTGAAATTGAAATCGTGACGAAATATACGTTAAAAGTTCGCAATTTTGGTCAGAAATGTGTTATCCATCCACTTTTAATAGCTCGTCACACTGTGCGTCGTGATGCTACCGCCCGCCGCCGCCGTGCAAAAATCAGCGCACGTCATTTTTGAAATTAACAGCCGATTTGTTGTGATCGAGAGCTCTTTCGCGTCCGTCAGAGCTTCTTGCGTCTCGTGATCCGTATTTTGTCTTCTTCTCCGTCTCCTCCATCGTCCTTTTTTACTCCTCGTCTTCCTCTGCTTCTTCTCCTCCGAGTCAATTTTTTTCTAGCAGAAATTAGCACATACCGGAGTCTCTATGCTCGTGGAAGAGTTCCGCAACTCATCCTGTGAGGGAGGTTGATGCGCGATGTTGCAGGCAATAATCGTCGCTTCTCTGACGGAGGAACGTACCTTGATTTCCGCATGAGCCTCATAATGAATGGATTCTTATGTAAGACAGGTCTTATGTGGAAATTGAGATACGCCCGTATGACAGAGGCATGACGTAATGTCCAGGCGATGCTGTCAACGCAGTTTCGCGACGATTGAAGAAGCATTATTTGAGACATTTTTCACTGACAAAGACCTTAGAGTTCAAATAGTGATAAAGGCAACGCCTTTTAAATGAAGAATATGTATTATGGATCTTCACGATGTAGGGGATCGATACACACCTTACCTGCTACGCGGCTCAACCCCCAGGGGGAGCTTCTCTCGGGACCCTGTGAGTTAATTTAAATAAAACCGACTCATCTGGAGGCTATCTTCTATCGATAACCGCAAAAATCATGCAAATCAGTTCGGTAGATTTTTAGAACGAATTGTGACAAACAATAAACATTTACAATGTCTGAATGCGAGAATGTACAACTTTAAAACACCTGGGTTTCATAATCTGAATGGAACGGGCTCATCTGGGGACTGCCACCTATCTGTTAACCACGAAAATCATGAAAATTGGTCCAGTAGAACAGTCAAACAATCTGTGACTAGAAATGAAAATTTTAGGAGTCAGAGATTTTACATATACGTGAAATAGTTTCCAAGTGGAGGCATTTTTGATGAAAGGCGTATGGTTTGGGCCTTATTTACGCAGGGCGCGCATTCCAGATCCAAAACCATGCTTTAAAACTTGGAAAAATAAAGGAGAGCAATTCGAAGTACGGCGTCTAGAACATTATAATGCATTCTCCTCGAAACCAGGTTTCCCCAATACGCTATTTCCTCGAAAAATGACTTATTAATTGTGAAAAGCTCATCAGAAATTTTACTCTTTAATGGGCAATATCGACTGATGATAGGTGATCAGGTAATAGCATACATATAGAAACAAGTATTGATTAATTGAATAATTATAAGGATTAAAAGTCCACGCGATGTTGCCAGCAGGAAACCGGGACAAAAAATCTTCGATGTGTCACCAGGTGTTTGATTCAGCACGAAAAAGAGCCACAGCTAAATTTTAGAAATTTCTCGGTCTCATTGTGATTACTGGTAATTTTGTGACTTGCTGTATAAGTAACGTTCAAGCAACATTGCTACACTGTTAAGACTCCAAGCAACAGCAGTGATATAAATTTCGTTTTCACTTCCCAGTAGCCTTGCTTTGCGAGGAGAAGGAGGAGTAGGTGGCAATCTTAATTGGACATCTTCAAAAGGGGTCAATCAACAAAGGGAGTGCTGAAGAAACGTGTATCTGTTAAAGCATGGCAATTGAATATACGTTGTTGATTAAGATGCCCTTCGTGAATGAATCAATGAATGCTAAAAGGGCCTAAGTCAAGAAACTCATACGCAGTAATGTTCGGTGTAGTTAATAAAAACCAGGGATCATGAGTTTTTGTACTTTTGTACGCCTTTTTAGCATGCATAGATTCAAATGGCAGGATTTGACCTTTTTGCTGCCCCAAGGTAGCCAGAATTTTGCAGCCCTCGTGATGATTTTGACGGAAGAAACCACACACCAAAGGGGGAGGGAAAGTCCGAGGATTCTGCCGCTTTCCCAGGAAAATTCCTGAGAATAACACAAGTTAGACCTACTTTTCGTCAAATTTTACCTACGTATCTGTTACTTTAAAAAAATTTAAAAAATCCAGAAGTCCTGATTTTACTTTAACGGAAAATTTTTGATCATTAAACCAAAATTAACCGCCCAAAGGCAATAGTCTCTGTATATCCTATAGTCTCTTATCCTTAAATCCGGGTGTTCCTTCGTATATGAGTAATAATTTAACCACTTTTTAAGTTAAGAAAATACCATTTCCGGCTCAGTTTAGTAACAATGTAATTTGCGTGATCTTTCAATTTCCCTTCGCAGATAGGAAGCATGGATGGGCCAGAAATTTCAGTGTCTTATTTCTAAATGTAGTTCAATTCCGCTTAGCGGCATCCAATGGTGTAACTAATATTAGTTAGGTATCATTCTTGGAGTTTAAAATTTTTTTCACTTTTCAAGGGTAAAAATATTTACGGCAGTAATTTTTTTTCTGTGAAGCATTTCATCTTTCTTTTTGCTCCCATTTGAGGTGTAGAATTTTAGGGTTTTATATGAAATTATTAGCCACGAATTGCAGGAACTTCGAAATTAGATTATCGTGAAATTTGGATGAAAATTGACAATTAACTCCCAGGCTCACGAGCACTGGCATTTAATGAATGACAAAAATAATGACGCTTTAATAAAGGCAAAATTTGAGCGTCAAAATAATGTGTTTAAATCTGAACATGGACCCTATCAGGCGAATTAAGTATTTGAAATCCAAGCTTCCATCAAACTTGACCCGAATAAATTACTGAGGTACAAATTGGGTGGGGTTCACGTGTAACATGATAGATTCCCGACTATCGGCGGTTTGCCCAACTCCTCTCGAATGACCGAAACAAGCAGCGATTATAATATTCATACCTATACGCGCGGCTGGCACACATACAAGTAGAATTAAAACTACAATAATAAGAACATTCGTTTGTTTGAACCTCTAAATCAATGCAGGAACTGAAATCTCGGAAATCTCTGAAATTCAACATTAATTTTACATGTTAGTTATTATAGGCTCCTATTTTTATTTCTGATTATAACACGCCCCCTTCCCTTATATTAATAAATATGATGGATCAGAGAGAACGAGCGTTGAGTTGTGCGTACCTACGTGGTTGCTATCACAAGTTTGATAAAAAGTAGGTACCCTACCCTCAATTTTATTGGTCTCTAATTTTAAAGGCTGTGGGTTCATCATTTTTCCTTTTTTTAACGATTTATTTGACATACATCACGGAGTATGATGAATATTAATATTGTTGATATCGATATAAAACGCTGATATCATGGACTCACGAACTACAGATTGAATCCATGGTGGTCCGAGATGCGTCTGAAATTAACAAATCCGAAAAGAAAAAAGTGAATTTTTAAAATTTACTCGAGATACACTAATCAAATCTTTCCCTTGAAAAATTCCTCATATATACCTCATGTTAATACATTATATATATTTGCGTCGAAAATGCGCATTTGCAATTGAATCGGTCAGTTACAAAAGGGCTCAAACGCCAAAAATGAGAATTCGAGAAAAATGGTAACCGTTTTAATTGACACCTAATAAATCTCAGAGCTCTGAAGCATTAAAGCGATGAATTAATTAATCACAATATTAATTGATCTGAACTTTAAAACGGGTTGATTCATACAGTCGCCTTTTTTTTTTTTTTTTTTTTTTTTTTTTTTTTTTTTTTTTTTTTTTTTTTTNAAAAAAAAAAAAAAAAAAAAACGACTTCAAGTTTTGGGGACAGATCTATCATTAAAACTCTGTAGGTAAACTTTATACTCATAAAATGTGATTCGGATACTAGCCAATCATAAGTTATTTAGTGATGCTTTTGAATTATCGTGACCCTCCTTGTCATTTCGGGATCGTTAGTTTGCATATTAAATAAAGACCTTTTTGAAACAAGTTTCGACCGAGTCCTTTACTTGTGAAATGATTTTGGTCAATGTCATCGACTCCTCTTGACCAGTTGCATACATTATCGGCGTGCTAATAAATGTTACAGAAACGGTAGGAGTTCGCGCATGTACTGAATTAGATCCCTCGCAAGCCCTTATTTAACTTGATTAACATGTATCAAGTCCGCCTGAAAATAGAGCAGAACAGGGAAAATCGAGTATTGTCTTGATCGTCGTTATGTTTGCTTTGACACTAGCACTTTCAATGAATAGCCAAGAACGGAAAATTTTTCTATTTCTGCTTGTCAGCTCATTGTTATACTGTGAAGCCTCAGAAGCCTCTGAAGTTAAATATAGCTACGCTTTTCACACGTAGTGTATCAACTCTTGTCATTCATATGTTTG